CAGTGTCACTGGCCCTCATATGTGGGATCCGAACCGGGGCCCTCTGGCGTCCCAAGCCAGCTCTTAACCAGCGCGCCACTCGGCCGGCCCAGCAAATGAGTTTTAAAGAGAGGGAGGAGGCACATTTCAAAAGTTGATTCAGATCTCTGTTTTGTTGTCTCCAGAGTTAAAAGATCCAAATCCTACAAGACTGATTTTTAAACAAAATGTTAACTTAAACCATTTAAGATAGAGTATAATTCCATTTACTTTTAGATTCACTTTTTACATAAAAAGCTGATACTAACAGGATCCTCCCAAGTTAGCAGTTGTGTTCATTATATTGTAGACTAGTCATCGTTTGTTGCTTTCAAATAATTACTGCAAAGAAAGGAAATAAATGTACACTTAATTCTTTGCTTTGTTTCTCCACTATTTCTAGTAATCAGATTTTCATAACTCTCTTTTTCACCAGGAATTTTTATGTGGGGAGAAGTGCCTGGATCAGCTAATTCAGAGACTGCTGCAATCAGCAGATGAAGAAGCCATTATTGAATTTTTGGATGAAAACCTTAAATCAGCAAAATAAATGCTTTGTTATTTATTATTACATGAATGAAATGGACCAGTGTCAAGAAGCAGACTGAGGCATGGAAATCTTAAGTACAGCTAAAAATACACAATACTTACAAATGTATTTTTTAGTGAATCAAGTCACATTTCTTGACCTAAGAGTTTATCTTAGGTTTCCTGTAAAGTACAATCCAACTCTTCAAGTAGAAAACAAACATGCATCATGGAAAGAGAAATGAAGTTTTGAGAATTAGGTGCTGTGGGACAGGTCACTTGTTCTCTTTATATGCCTTTTTTTAACCATCTATAAATTAATTTAAACACATTTTTCATCTATTACTTCAGGACTTGATAACATGATAAACTTTAGTGACAGAAGATTTATAAACTTCTTTGTAAGCCCCTATTTAAAGACGAAGTCTTGCTAATTATGTTAGTTAGGGCTTAAACTATTACTTTTAAATAAAAAATAAATAAACTTTGTGAGACTATGAGTCAATACCAGTGAGCATCTCTAGGACACGGATTGTAGAATTCTTTGAGAGCTGAATGTACGAACTATAAGTCAGTATTTAAAGTAGACTTTCTGCTTGGCCTCTGTTTCTTACTGTTCTTTGGCTTAACATAATGAGCATCAACAGATGTGGTGTAATTTGAGTAATTTTCTGTGATTGGTTCTTTTGAGTGATATGTAAAACCTTGTCCTTACCTTACAGAGCTTCCAGTTGAGTGAGGAAGCCAAAATATAAATCACCAACTATAATCCAAAGTACAGGAATTCCCCCCTGTTATCTGAGGAGGATACATTCCAAGACCCCCAGTGAATGCCTGAAACCATGGATAGTACTGAATACCTATACACCAGGTCCTCGAATAACGTCATATTGGTATAAGCTCAATGAGAAAAGAAATCAATTCCCGGCCGGGGCCACTATCTGTGGCATTTGCATGTTCTCCCACATCTGCGTGGGCTTTCTCTGGGGACTCCGGGTTCCTCCCACCCCACAGGTGTGCGTGTGAGGTGGATCGGCATTTCTAAATTTTCCCGATCTGAGTAGGGTGTGTGTGAGTGGCCCTTGATGGAAGGGCGTTCTGTCCAGGGTGGGTCCCGTCTCGTGCCCTGAGCTTCCAGGATGGGCCCCAGCTGCCCACAACCCTGAACTGGAATAAGTGTTGGTGGAAAATAAGGATCTTGTTTGATTTTATTAATCTTTCGTAAATGTGTGTATAGCTCACATTTATTTCAATGTTTAATATTAGAAGTGTTTTGGGTCTTTATTTAGAAGTTTGGTGATGTTTTTGTGACCAGAAATATGCCTTAGGAACTTAACTCCTGTTTACATCAATTAGCCTATGGTAAAATTGGTTTTCTTATATAATTGGTTGTTTTGCTTAAAGTCACAATTTTCAAGAACCTACCGACAATGGTAAGTGAGGACTTATTGTATAAATTATGTTTTTCCTATACTATATACCTATAATACAGTTTAATTGATAAATTAGGCACAGAAGACATTGACAATAACTAATAATAAAATAGAACACTTATAACAGTATACTGTAATAAAAGTCATGTGAATGGTCTCTCTCAAAATACCTTATGGCATTGTATTTACCCTTCTTGTGATGATGTGAGATGATACAATGCCTATGTGATGAGATTAAGTGAGGTGAATGATGCAGGCTTTGTGATGTAGCTTTAGGCTACAATACTGGTGACATGAACACAAGCACTGAGATACCTTGACAGTCAATCTGATAACCTGGACAGCTACCAAGTGACTAATGGTTGGGTAGGCATACAGTGTGGAGGCGCCAAAGGGCTGATTCACGTCCTTGACAGGATTGAATGGGATGGCTCAAGATTTCATCACGCTGTTCAGAACAGTGGGCAATTTAAAACTTATGAATTGTTTATTTCTGGAATTTTCCACGTAATATTTTCAGACCGCGATTGACTGCTGGTAACTGAAACCTTGGAAAGTGAAACCACAGATTAAACTACAGTAGTTAGTAATTGTTCTCAGGAAGTTTCTTAGGTAAAAAAGAGGGGTTATCATTTTAGACATTCCTCAGAGATGAACTATATGCCAGGAGAGACTAGCTAAAATAGAGTTTTAAGACCAATGGGATTATTTGGAAGTAAAGATGAGAGAAAAAATTTTCCCAAATTTTTATTCTGAAAAATTTCAAGCACACAAAAATTTTAAAAATAATTTTAAAAAAACAATTCAATGAACACTATTCTAGATTCAACTATTGTTAACATTTTACCACAATTGTTTTTTTCTCTATACACACACAGGTGGTGATTCTTGGACTATGTAAAAGTTAGTTGCAGACCTCATAACATCACTTCAAAATATTTCAGCATATCCTAAGAATAAAGACACCTTCCTACAAAATTATAACTCCATCATCATACCTAATTGTATAAAATAATACAATAATTATAATTATGATCTAATAGCTATTGCATATTAAAATGTTTGCCATTATCCCCCAAATGCCTTTTTTTTTTTAACTGTTTTTGTTTGTTAGTTTTGTCCAAACCAGGATCCCACCAAGAGTCACACATCTTGGTTGTATCTCTTTAGTTTTTGAATGAATCCCCCAACCTTGTTTCCACATGACATTGGCCTTGTGAAGGGTCTCGCAAAGTTGTTTGGTAGAATGGCCTACATTCTGGATTTGCCTGGCTGCTTCCTCATGCTGTTGGTAACATTCATCCATCCCCTCAATGTACTATAAAAGTAAAATTAAGTCTAAATAATTAAGATTAAATACATTTGGCAAAACTACTTCATAGGTGATGTGAAATTCATCGGTGATCATATGTATCAGATCAGGAAGTTCCACTACTAGTAATGCTAAATTTGGTAACTCAAATCTCTCCATTGTAATGATACATGTTTTCCTTGATAATTAGTATGCAATCTGTGGGGTTATACTTTGGCATCATATAAACATTTGGTTTCTTGTTGTGCTAGGCAGCTTCTGAGAACCCCCAATGATCCCTATGCCTGGCATTCATACACTTGTGTAATCTCCCCTTGAATGTGGACCAGATTTATTGATTCTCCTCTAACAAATAGAGTACAATTTATTGGGTGGCTCATTCATAGGCATGCTCCAATTGAGTGAGAGTAGACCCATAAAAACTGGCCGCCAATGAATGAAGGCAATGTGAGTCGTTTTGAGTATAGACACAAAGGAGTGACTACTTTGTAGACTCTATTTAAAAATCAGAGCAAAAAACAATATGATGGAGCCCAGGATGTAGAGCTGATGGCGCCTGACACGCCCCTGATCTGAGTTGGTAGGTGGCGAGTAGAGGCAATACTTACCGCAGGTGGGAGAAGATGGTGGTGCCGTCACATAAAGAGCACCAAAGCCTAAATGCCGGGAAGGTGAATGGGGGCTTTGCTTTCATGGGCATCTTCTTTATGAAGCAAAGTGTGTAAGATTTTTATAAAGGACAAACAAGTGAGATACTTTGTACTTAACAGTTGTCAGACTAAACACTGGGATGAATGGTTCCAGAAAGTAGAGTACTCAAATAATACATGGAAACCAATCTGCAGAAACAGAACTTCAAGAAGCCATTATCCAGAGGGGACAATAAGAGGGGCTGCCCCAGGAAAGAAGTTGTCTGATCTACAAGAGAAAAATGTTGGAGTCACCCAGAAATAGAAATGGTGGCAGTACCAGTGAGATACCTCAGCCTCCTCAGAAGATAAAGGGCCAAGTAGACCCTGATGTTAGATTCATGAACAGAGTTGAAGTTAAAGATTCTTGAAGAGCTAGAATCAAGGTTTGTCGATGACTGAGACATAATTACTAGGCAAAAACAGCTCTTATCTTTCTGCCAAGAAGAATGAAGATTCCATTGTAGAGGATTATGCAAATTAAAAGGTTTTGAACAAACACTAGTATGTATCTTTTAATGAAGCTGTGTCAGGAATAAAAGAATACTGGAATATAATGTTGGTCACTCAGCTAACTTTATAAATTTGAAAGACCTCCAGTATGCTGAAACCCTTAAAGATTGTCCTGAGGTTTATATGGAGCACCAGCCACATCTACTGAAAATTGGAGCATTGTTGCCCTATACACCTCTACGTGAGGTGAGTCTTAGTTTATGACTGAGCTATCTTCACGATTTCCTGGCAAAGAATTCTGCAGCTTTAATTATGAAGTGGCTTCTCCCAAAAGGAGGTATAATTTACAGTAAATTAAATGCACAGATCTTAAGAGTCAGTTCATTGAATTTGACAATTGCATATACCTGTGCCTCCATCAGCCCAATCAAGAAGAGAGCATTTCCATCACACCTGAAAGTGTCCTTGGGTTCCTTTGCAGTCAACACAGAAATCCACCAATCCCCCACCTCCCAATAGTGGCAGCTTTTATTATGGTTTTTATTCACCCTAGCATATTTTCACTGCTCTGTAACTTTGCATAGATAATCTTACAGTATGTATGTACTCTTGTATATATCTGGCTTCTTTTGTTCAACATAAAATTTTTGAAACTTATTTATATTATTATGTGTATCAAAGGTTTCTTTTTTTATTTCTGAGTACCATGACACTATGCATATACCACTTTTTTTTTTTCATTCTCCTATGGATGTAAATATGTACTGTTTCCAGTTTTGGGCTATTAGGGATAAGGCTACTGAGAACACTCTTGGACATGTGTTCTAATTTCTCTTGGAAATTGCTTTGGAGTGAAATTATTGGGCATTTAACATTCAAAGAAACTCCCAAACAGTTTTTTAAAGGAGACATCCCAATTTACATTCCCATTATTAATATATGAGAGTTACAATGGCTCCCTATAATCACCAACATTTGCTATTGTTGATCTTTTAAAGTTTAGCCATTCTATTGGGTGTGCAGTATTTTCTCATTGTGAATTGAATTTGTATTCATCTGCTAATGAATGACATTGATGGGCTTTTCATGTTTATTGGTCATTGGCTATATGTATTATGAATATTTTTTGCCAGTCTATGACTTGCCTTTTTATTTTGTTTTCACTGCTTTTTAGTGGACAAAGCTTGTAATCTTGTTGAAGTTCGTTTTATTAATTTTTTTAAAAATTAATGTTTTTTATGCCCTAAGAAATCTTTGTCTACTTCACAGTCACAAAGATAGTCTCCTATGGTTTCTTCTAGAAGCTTTACGGTTTTCAGTTTTCTGTTTTATATTGAGATCCATTTCAAATTAATTTTTGTTGATGGTATAAGGTAGAGGTCAAGGTTAATTTTTTTTTTTACATTGTGATCCAGTTGTTCCAACACCATTTGTCTAAAAAGACTTTTCTTTCACCACTGATTTTCATTGATACCAATGCTGTGTTTCTAAAGTTAAAATTCAGTTCCTCATTTGAATTAGCCACATTTCAAGTTCTCCAGAGCTACAGGTGGCTTCTGGTTACCGTATCAGTCGGGCAGATATTAAATATTTGCATATTGCAGAAAGTTCTGTGACAGCACTGCTCTAGACATTAGGGCACCATGTCTACTAAATATTTTAGATTCTGTGAAAGGTAATCTAAGCCAAATAACAAAGTATGGGCTGATAAAAGGAAGTTAAAAATCAATCAGTGAACTTATATGAGGCACCTAGAGTAGTCAAATTCAGATACAGAAAGTAGAAGGGTGGTTACTGGGAGTTTCGGAGAGGGGGAAATGAGAGTTACTGTGGGTACAAACTTTCAGCTTTGTCGATATGAAAACAGTTCTGGAGATGGATGGTGGTGATGGTTGCAAAACAATGTGAATGTACTTAATGCCGAAGAAATGTACTCATCTGCTTCAAAATTGCTAAAGTGGTAACTAATATATTAAGTATATTTTACCAGTATAATTTTTTCAATTGCTGTTTTCCCTAGCTGGTGTTTAGGTGCAGATGAGAAAGCAATCAGTGCTACTAATGACTTAATTCTCTCTGGTGTATCTGAAGGACACCCAACAGAGGTACAGAGGAGATATTGGAGCCCAGTGCCCCACTTAGTTTAATATCTATTTCCTGGAGGTGTTTCCAGTAGACCCTCTTCAGCTAATAGGAAAAGAGAGAAATACAGTTTGAGAGTTATCTCCTCCTATGTGTTATCTACCTATTCATGTAATACTAAACATTTCATTCATTAGGCAACGGTGACACATGGCAAACTAACAGTAGGAGCAGTCTAGTTTTTAAAGTTCCATAACAAAAAAAAAGTAAGCACTTGATTTTGACAATTTAACTAGCAGATAATGTTGATCTATAAAGCTATATCAGCAGTTTTGTAAAGCATCAACTCTACTATATAAATTTAAGAAATGTCAGGGCATGTATGAATACCGTGCTCTGAGGATCTTGTGCTTGTCTGTTTAAATATTTTAATTTAAAACTCATTAAAACTTCTTAAAACAATTCCAGAATTTACAACTTATTTGTGGAGAAGAAGTGAAAGGAGCAGTGTTAGACGACTTGAAAACACGCATATTAAGAGGCTGTGAAAATAATCTTGCTACCCAGGAGATGAAGTGTTGAGTTGGTGAGATGCCGAGCCATCTATTTATACGCCTGATTTCCATAACTGAGGCCATCTATAATGGCTGTCCTCTAGGACCCCATTTTGTCCAAGACATCTTAATGAACCTATGGATATCGGTTAGTATTGAAACTATTATAATGCAGTTCACAGCCTTTCAAAAGAAGCAACATTAAAAACGAAGTTTTCAGAAATTGCTCATGGTTTCAAATTAGGGGGTGTCTCATTTTTCATAAATTCTAAAATAAAAGCTAACAACGACTGAATCTTTATATACTAAGCACAGTGTAAACAATTATTGTTCTAATCAACAAATATTTATTAAAACTTCCTAAATCCTATGCAATTTATCTTATTCCATCGAAACACAATCCTATGAATATTATTATCCCCTTTTTATAAAGAGGGAAAACTTCTCAGGGAGAAGTCACATAATTAATGAATAGTAAAACGTGGCTTCTACTCTGTATTTCAAAAGCCAACGTTTTAAACCATTAAATCGAGGAGCATTAACCATCTCTAAGTCTATCAGCTAAAGCAGTCCGCCACGAGGAACCTCGCGATATTGCTCGAACTATTACTCCCAACGTGCAAAGCGGCTTCTGCTATTCAGCCTATGACCGGCCGGACTGTCCCGGCATGCCTCGAGCGGCGAAAGGCAACCTGGGAGTCGTAGTCCAGGACGCCTACCCGTCTCGCCAGCGCAGCAGTGGCGGCTGTCTTGGTTCCAGTCTGCGGGTTCAGTGAGGGCGAGTTCAGGCGAAAAAAAAAGGGCGCGGAACTGGAAAAGGGTGAGTGAGAAGCTGTCTACGCGATAAAGGGAGGCGGCACCGCTACGCGGGGCTGAGTTACAAAGGCGCGGCCCCTATTCAGGGAAGCGCCTATCGTTGCGCTGGTGAGAGCAGGTTGAGGCGGAGCCGGAGCCCCGTCCTTGCACCGGTTCTCGCCTTCGGCACCGCCGCCATCTCCACCATGCAGTCTCGGGAAGACGCCCCGCGCTCTCGCCGCCTCGCCAGTCCCCGTGGTGGGCGACGGCCCAAGAGGATTTATAAGCCCTCGGTTTCGGCGTTTTTCACGGGCCCGGAGGAGCTGAAGGACACGGCCCATTCTGCAGCCCTGCTGGCCCAGCTCAAGTCCTTCTACGACGCGCGGCTGCTGTGCGATGTGACCATCGAGGTGGTGACGCCCGGCAGTGGGCCGGGCACGGGCCGCCTTTTTTCCTGCAACCGTAACGTGCTGGCCGCCGCGTGCCCCTACTTCAAGAGCATGTTCACCGGCGGCATGTACGAGAGCCAGCAGGCAAACGTGACCATGCACGACGTGGATGCCGAGTCCTTCGAGGTGTTGGTCGAATACTGCTACACGGGTCGCGTGTCCCTAAGTGAAGCCAACGTGCAGCGCCTGTATGCGGCCTCGGACATGTTACAGCTCGAGTACGTGCGGGAAGCCTGTGCCTCCTTCCTGGCCCGCCGCCTCGACCTGGCCAACTGCACCGCCATTCTCAAGTTCGCCGATGCCTTCGACCACCACAAGCTGCGATCACAGGCCCAGTCCTTTATAGCCCACAACTTCAAGCAGCTCAGCCGGATGGGTTCGATTCGGGAGGAGACTCTGGCAGATCTGACCTTGGCCCAGCTGTTGGCTGTGCTGCGCCTGGATAGTCTAGACATCGAGCGAGAGCAAACGGTGTGTCACGTGGCCGTGCAGTGGTTGGAAGCGGCTCCCAAGGAGCGGGGTCCCAGCGCTGCCGAGGTCTTCAAGTGTGTCCGCTGGACACACTTCACCGATGAAGATCAGGATTACCTGAAAGGGCTGTTGACCAACCCCATTGTGAAGAAGTACTGCCTGGACCTTATTGAAGGGGCCCTGCAGATGCGATATGGTGACATGTTTCACAAGTCTTTGGTGCCAAAGCCGGAGTGCAGCAGCAGCTCTGTTGTATCCACGGAAAACCCACCCCAAAGGCTGGGTGTGTGTGCCAAGGAGATGGTGATCTTCTTTGGACATCCCAGAGATCCCTTTCTGTGCTATGACCCATACTCAGGGGACATTTACACAATGCCGTCACCTTTGACCAGCTTGGCCCACACTAAGACTATCACCTCCTCAGCTGTCTGTGTCTCTCCAGACCATGACATCTATCTAGCTGCCCAGCCCAGGAAAGACCTCTGGGTGTATAAACCAGCTCAGAACAGTTGGCAGCAGCTTGCAGATCGCTTGCTCTGCCGCGAGGGCATGGATGTGGCATACCTTAATGGCTACATTTACATCTTGGGGGGGCGAGACCCTATTACTGGAGTTAAATTGAAGGAAGTGGAATGCTACAGTGTTCAGAGAAACCAGTGGGCACTGGTGGCTCCTGTACCCCATTCCTTCTATTCCTTCGAACTAATAGTGGTTCAGAACTATCTTTATGCTGTGAACAGCAAGCGCATGCTCTGCTATGATCCGAGCCACAATATGTGGTTGAACTGTGCTTCTCTTAAACGTAGTGACTTTCAGGAAGCCTGTGTCTTCAATGATGAGATCTACTGTATCTGTGACATCCCAGTCATGAAGGTCTATAACCCAGCCAGGGGAGAATGGCGGAGGATTAGTAATATTCCCCTGGACTCAGAGACCCACAACTATCAGATTGTCAATCATGGCCAAAAGTTGCTTCTCATCACTTCTACCACTCCCCAGTGGAAAAAAAACCGAGTGACTGTGTATGAATATGATACCAGGGAAGACCTGTGGATTAACATAGGCACCATGTTAGGTCTTTTACAGTTTGACTCTGGCTTTATTTGCCTCTGTGCTCGTGTGTATCCTTCTTGCCTTGAACCTGGTCAGAGTTTCATCACTGAGGAAGATGATGCACGGAGTGAGTCTAGTACCGAATGGGACTTAGACGGTTTCAGTGAGCTGGACTCTGAGTCAGGAAGTTCAAGTTCTTTTTCTGATGATGAAGTCTGGGTGCAGGTAGCACCTCAGCGAAATGCACAGGATCAGCAGGGTTCTTTGTAAATATCTGGAAACACTAAGGTGTTTCTACTGCTATGGAATGTATTTTAAAAAGATACCCTTTCCTTTTTCTGGAAAAAGAAAAGTTTATTGGTACCACATATTTGGTTTAGAAAGGGTAATGTTTGAATTACTAATGTAATGTTACAAAATTTAAACAGTCCACAAAATCAACCTATATAATGATTTACTGTGCTAAAAGTCAACATTAAAGTATGCAAAAAATGAAGGGTATAATTGATTAAAATGCTTGGTGGCTTTTTCATTGTTCAAGTATTCATTGCGTCAGTGGATTGTTTTGGTTAGTTACACTGTTTATATTTTAGTTATCTAATTTAGTTTTCAGTTAACTTTTTAATTCTATTTAGTGCCATGAGGAATTTAACTTTTTAATTTTTATAATAGAAAATTGGACTAGAAATTGTCAATAGGGTTTTGAAGGTTTATATTTTCCTTTAGAATAATGAAAATAGATTTACCAAATTGTAAAGTAGTCAGTTTTTAGTATTCTAAATATAGTTTGTTAAATTTGGTTTGTTTTTTTTCCCTTTTGCAAAGGAAAAAAATTGAACATACAAAGGTTATTAAATAGTGATTTCATTTTGATATAGTGCAGAATGGTCTTAAGAGCACACAGAAAATAAAAATAAATCGGGATTACACTGTTTTAAAAGAAATTTAGCTTCTAATTTTGGAATATAAAATGTATATTTGCAAAATGTGACCATTTTTTAATCTAAAAAAACATCCATTCTAGTAGTGTCACCAATTATTTAAACACCTTTCTAAACCAAAAGAGAAATAGGTAACTTAATTTTTAAGTTCATATTTCCATCTATACCTGATACTTGCTTCATTGAATCAGAGTAACAATACTTTTTTTCATTGGACATACGATTGGGTAATAGAAATTATTATCCATTGGTCATGCCTTGTCTTAAAAAGTTTATAAGCTTTCCTAAAATAACTTGGCTGTATAGTTTTGGTGTTTGTCTTAGAGGATTCTTCAGGACGAGGTGATTTATTCTTTACTGTTTTGTGAGGTAATATTGGTTTTGAAAATATGTATAAGCTAAAAACAGCATTTTATTGAGATGAGTAGTTATTGTGTCTATCAACTATAAAATCAATTGCCAGCAGAGAACTTTAAAACTTTAAGCTATGTATAGCACTGTTTTGTGTAGCATTGAAATATTCTGTCAGTTTTGTAAGTTACTATAAATGATGATCAGCTCGAAGGTATTTTTGTATTAAAAGTTGACAGTTAAAGAACATAGTGAATGATGGCATTTGGGGCCAATAGTGAAAGTATATTTCCTCTAAAATATTTCCCTAAGCAGTGCTATGTATACATGATTATTTTATTAGGGTATTTGTATCTGCTCTGTGTTTCTCTGTGAACCATGCTGTAGTCTTTGTTATTTGTGTTTGTTTTCTTTTGTTTGTTTGTTTTTGTATCACCATAATGTAAGGGAAAGTCCAGAAATAGAAACGAAATTGCACAAACATTACGTTGTTAAATACAAGAACATATAGGTGCTTACTTTTTGAGGGTCTGTAAATACATACGATTGTCATAATATACATGATAAATGGTGTACATATACAGATGCTATGGTCTATAAATTTTTCTATACCCACTTAGAATTATCTTGAATCTTCGTTCAACAACATGCTAATTCCTCTTTTGTTATTTATTCTCTAGTGACTGACTGCTGACATTTCTTATTACCCTGGCAGAGTACTGAGGAGTTTGCTCTGGGATGGGGAACTGAATTTTGAATAAAAAAAGAGTGACAGAGAAAAGGATTAAAACAAAACAAGCACACAGATAATTTCTTCTTAGCTATTTTGATTGGCTATTTGAGGAGTCCACAAAACATTCCTGTTTAACATTATTTCTAGTGAAATAAAGCAAGTACATGTATGCTTTAGTGGCCTGAGGCTAACTTTTGTTGCATTTGATATCTGGGATGGTATTAAGCACTGCTCATAACATAGAAAGCTATTTCTCAGTAGTGTTATTTTTGGGCCACCTTTTCTTCACCATTAACTTCTTATCGATAGCATTTTATTTAGTAAGGTTGAAATAGGACTGATGCTTACCTCAACCAGATTATCCGTCTGCAGATTTAAGGTATGCAACCGACTGATAAAAGACAGATCCTCTAAATTGTCATTCTCAACCTTTAAGTTAGTTCTAAACTAGTAAGTAGTAATGTCTTGGTTTACAAAAAGGTTTTCTTGGGAAGGATTTTGGTTTTGTGATATCCTTGTGAATTAGGGAATAGATGTTAATCATTATTTTAAAGATAAGTGATCTGTACATGGTTAGTTTCAAATAAAACTGGCACTAGCACCCAGGTCATCTGACCTCTTAATTTAGTGTTTCTGCTGAATGTATGAAAACCTTACTCATGCAGTAAGTGACACAATGAACATTGTTGAAACCCCTTCCTGACAGGAAAGCACCTTTATCTAAGTTTTACAATAAATTGGCACATCTTTTTTTTTTTTTTTTAATTGGGGAATTGGGGAAGGGGACCAGCCAAGTTGTTGTTCTTCAGACTTAGTTGTGGAGGGCGCCAGTTGCCATCTGGCTGCCTGTTGACAGCTTGTGGCCTCTAAGCTCAAGATGCTGTGTTACAATCTTAGTTGTGGGTGGGCATGGCTACCATCCCATGTGGGAGTCGAACCAGCAGCCTTGTTGTTAAGAGTGCACACTCTATCTACTGAGCCATCCGGGCTAGTTGCGGGCGGGTGTAGCCCGCCATCGAACAGGCAGTCTTGTTAGGAGCACGTGCTCTCACCAGCTGAGCCATCCTGCCACTTGTTGGCAGCTCAGCTTGGGTGCAGCATCACTGGCCCATGTGGGAATCAAACTGGTGGCCCAGTTTGATTAAGATTCGATTAAGAGCTTGCACTCTTAAGCTAACTCTTAACCAACTGAGCCGCTCACCCAGTAATTGGCACATCTTTTAACAAATACTCAATATGTCATTTTCAGGACTATCTGTAAGATTTAGAATGATCTTAATAATTTTTTGTATCTGTGTGTCTCTAGTCTGAAAAGCTTAGGGAACCCAAATTATTTCAGTACTTAAAAAATTCAAATGATAAATGTATTGGTTTTCCCAAAGGGGTAAAATAAAAGGCTAATTTTTAGCAAATAACTTGTTTAATTTGGGTTTAGGATTAAATTTAAATTATAGTTAGTTACTCACTGCTCAATAAACTAGAAACCAGTGCTTTGCCTGATGTCATTTTTTACCAATTTGTACTGAAATGAGGAAAAAAATATAAAACATGATGAATGAGTTGTAAACTTAAAATTATTTAATTGAATTTGTTTTAATATTCATATACATTGGAAATATAAAAAGTTTGCAAATCTATGTCAATCCCCTAAACTTTAAAAGAAAGTTTCCTTGTCTTTGAAACCCTCAAGTGTTATAACCATAATATAGACATCCAAAGTCTGCTTTAGATTTGAACTCTTGGAAGCATTTTATGTTGTATGCTTCTTTTTTTAAGTTAATGGTCTTTTTATTGGAAAAAAATTAAAAGATGTGCATTTACAACTTGGAATGAACATAAATTGTAATTTCTTGAACAGCAGTGTTGATGGTTTTGCTTATGTCCACAGCCACAACCATATTTGCTGGCTCCAAGGCCTGGTTCAGAAGATTTTAAAAACAGGTTGCAAAGGTGCTCCCTTGGTGAAAGTTTCTTTTTTAAAATGTCTATGAACAGTGACAGCCTGACACCCATTTCACTCGAGTACAATTCAGACAATGCTAAACCAACACATATGGGTGTACCATTAGTGTGTGTCACCGTCGCCTCGGGTCGGGGCTGCATCTAGACAGTTTATCCCTCACCCATTTTTCTACACACATCCTGAGGTAAACCAATTTTAGATGTGTTTCCTTTCAGTAAACCGGCTATGATGATGTATGCTAACAAACTGAGCTAGAACCCATTTGAATAGGTTTTGAATGTGTTTTTTCATTATTCATGTTTAATACAAATGTCTGACTATGCTCGATTGTCAAGCTGCATACTTGAAAAACTGACCAGCCCAAGGAGTGTGTTAATCATTAGCAAATGGAACTGCAGGGAGCCCAGGAAGCCTTCCCTGTTGGTAAGGTAGTACAAGTATTTATATTATAAAACGGATGGTAGCTTGATCTTTAGGGACAGAACCACCAACTCATACATGCAGGTTTTTTATGTGTGTGGACAGAAGATAATTTTGACATTCAGTTTTGCTACATAGAAACAGAATGAGTAAATGATTTTTTTTTTTTGCAAGAGGTAAGTAAAAGATTCAATTTGATTCTTCTAGAGGGGGGAAAAGGAGTTGAAAATAGATCTGCATTTTGCAGTCATCATCTGTACAAATTCTTCATAGTTGACTTGTTCATCTCCATCAATACCTGCTTCTCTGATTATTTCATCTCCTTCATCTATTACTTTTCTGTGAAGTTTGTCTTGACCTGTTGCAGAAGTGCTGCACTGATGTAACCATTGCCATCCTTGTCAAAGACTTTGAATGCCTCGTGGATTTATTCTTCATTGTCCGTATCTTTCATTTTTCTAGCCGTCATAGTCAAAACTTTTGGGAAGTCGATGGTGCCATGACCATCAGCATCCACTTCATTGATCCTTCTGCAGTTCGGCTTCTGTTGGGTTCTGACCCAGTGACCTCCTGACAGTTCCAAGTTCCTTTGTTGTGATGGTGCCACCGTCATCTTTGTCAAATAGAGAGAAAGCTTCCTTGCACTCAGCAGCCTGTTCTGGGGTCAGCTGATCAGCCATAGTGCGAGTGAAGGATGCAAGAGCAGAGGGATTGAGGGCCGCACCAGTGCAGGGGCTGGGACATGGGAGTGCCTTCCTGCTGCTGCTAAGGTACCATGCACGCTGAGCACTGTGTTACTGCCACCGTCACCACAGCCTGAGCTGCCCCCTACCCCCACCAGCTGCATGCTTCTCAGCTGTTCCACTTTGCCTCTCCCCTCTCATCAGATCTCTCCCGTAGCTTCTTAAAATCTTCCACACCTTTTCATCATTACAACTTTAAAAGAATATTCATTATAGCAAATATGATAAAACAAATATGAAAGTCTTAGAAAAATTATTTATAGAAAATGTGACTACCAATCTCAAGAGAATTAACTAATTAGCTTTAGAACCATCAAGATGGTTAAATATATACAAACCAGTTTTTTAATGAAGAAAAAAAAAGATAGTTTTCACAGAATTCGCCAAGTCCTAGAGTACCAGTTAGGCAATAGGTTTTGTGCCCTCTCCTTGACTTTGGGCCATTTGGTCACTTAGATCTATCCCATCAGCTCCTGTTCATTTCTTTAATCTTGTGGACTAAACATGGTCCAAGACCAGAGACTATAGGGAACGGACATTGTTGCATACCATTCCCTTTGTTTTTAAGACATTTTCTCAGAAACCACCCTACTCTGGGCAGTCACCTCTCTCCAGTGGAACCAATCTTTTATATTCTCACCTCCAAAGTAATCTTATCTGTTTATAACCACCATCTCTTAATCAGGAATATTTTGGAGGGCAAACGGTTCCTTAATTCTGGGGAAACTAGCAAATGGCAATGGCTCTTACTTCAAGGCACAGCCTGATCCAGGGTCTCAGTAACATTATGATACATTATTGTACAGAGAAGATATCATGGGTCAGTGTTTTCCTCTCACTTTATACATTAGTTAGGACCTAGATGTGGTTGTGCAAAGGGAAGGTGTGCACATAGTTTCCAGTCACATGACATGGGCCAGATCTTAATGACGTGGCCACACTTGACTGCAAGGGTGCTTGGGAGAGGCGATCTTTATTCTGGGTCAACATGTATCTAGTAAAAATTCAGAGGTTCCTTGTAGAATGCTGAGGAAGGACATTGTGGTATAAATAGCAATCTCGACTACAGCATCTGTCGGGCTAGATTTTCTCACATGACAGCCAAAATGAGTGCCAGCCAGGACTTCCAAGAGCCACATCCTTTCAGCCTAGAAAACCCAGAAAAAGGCCATATTTTCTGATATCTCTGGCAGATAATTCCGGAGGGGTCTACAACTCTAAATAGCCAAGTTTGATCACTTGTAATAGATGAAGTTGGAGGATGAAGATGCTGAGGAAGACAGACAGGTAAGAAAACAACCTCGGTAAAGGGTTCTAGTTCCTATGGTGGCGGGCGGCAGAGATAACAGGGTCCAAAAGATGGGAATGTTCAGGGTGCAGCATGTATTTTGTTTTGACCTAATCCCAGGATGTGAGGAGGAGCTGGGGGTGGAAGCAAGCTGACAACGGTGGTGAGCATCAGATCTTGAAGGCTTTTTATGTCATGCCAAGGAGATGACTTTATTTTTTTTGCATGCAATATGAATTTATTGAGAATGTTTTAGATTTTTTAAAAAGATTTTTATTGGGGAATTGGGGGATGGGGACAGCGCTGGGGAATTGGGGGAAGGGGAACAGACAGGTTGCTGTCATTTTGTTCTTCAGTCTAGTTGTGGAGGACGTTGCTTCACTGGCCCAAGTTGGCACCATCATTGCGCTTTTCCTGGGCGAGGCAGATCAGTCGCCGGCTTCTGGAGGGCCGCTCACGGCGGCTGCTGGCTACACACGGTAGCCCATGGCAACCCACTGCCACAGGGGCTGCAGCCTACGCCGTCGCCGGCGACTCACGGCAGCCCAGCTCCAGGTTGAGCTGTTGTTCAGCATCTTAGCTGTAGAGGGCAGTGTCACTGGCCCTCATATGTGGGATCCGAACCGGGGCCCTCTGGCGTCCCAAGGCAGTTCTTAACCATCGCGCCACTCAGCCGGCCCTATTGAGAATTTTTAAGTAGAGACTTGACACAATTGAATATGTTTTGAGACTCTATACCTGTATATATTGACAGTGCAAGACTATGGGGGCAAGAACCGTTAAAGGACTGCTGTGATAGTCCAGACAGTGAGATGATGTGGCACTCAACCGAGGCAGTAGCTGTGGGTTTGATGAGAAAGGAACACAGATAAGAGAGGTTAAAGACATTGAACTAGACCTATAGTTGTATGTTTGGGGATGAGGGAGCTGTAGGATATACAAGAAAGGAAGGACCATAGGCTGTTGACCCAAGTTTTTTGCTTGTATGTTGTGTTTAAGGTATAGGCCAAACCTTTACACCAAGGAGGCCCTAAAATATAAGATAGAAGCTTGCTTCTCTCCATTCAGTCCAGCAGTGAGCAGTCAACTGCTGGCAGGGTGGTTCTGCCTGATGAGGTTGTTCATGAACCCAGTCCCTTCATTATTCTCTCCCAACTGCTAGTGAGTTGTCCTCGTCTTCAGGGGCTAAGCACACTCACCAGAATTATATTTCTATGCTTCAGCCTACACGAAAGGGGAAAGAGGAAATGGAGGACAAAGAAAATGCCTTTTTAGAGAACTTTTACATCATTTTTGCCATTTTTCCGCTGGGCAGAACTTAACCATATCACCACCTCCAGCTGCAAGGTCAACTGGGAACTATTGTCATTAGATGGGTAGCTATTAGAGCGGTTCTATGATTAAATATATTAATAAACTAATATAGTTTAATATAGAAGTGTCCAGGCTTCCTGTATTCAAGTGCAGACAATTCACAATACCATGCAGGCTTTATTGCTATGATGGTCATTTCAAATCCCTCTAATCCTTCCACAATAAATTCGCAGCTAAAAGTTAAATTCAGTATAATGCTGGATAATGATTTTTCACAAGCAAATGTGTCCCCTGAGTGCCTTTAACACCCCCCCACACACACACACACACACAAACACACACACACACACACGAACACTCATCAAATCCTTGCCATTACGTCCTGTCTCAGTCCAAGTATTCCTAGAAATGGTAGAAATTAAGCCTCCAGAGTGTCACGGTTCTCTCCCTAAATGCCTAAGCTCTTTTCCAATCCCCTCTCCTTCTCTGGGAACCTACCAGCCTATCTCCCTCATTCATCCCGCACCCCAACAGCTCTCACCATTACTAATAGGGAAAAGAGGAGAATGACATGGGGGCAATTAGCAGTCTCTGTTACATTGACCCAATGGATAATGCTGTTAGTGAGTTGGAGAATATTAGAGTCAGATTAGATTTGGAGACACTGGTTGATGCATGTGGTGTCCCATGTCACATCCTTTTGGCCATCCTTTGATCTCAGCTGCAACTATGGTGGACACTCCCAGACCATGGTAACAGGCAACTTTGCTTTCCTGACTCAGGGCTTTCTCTGATGGCTCTTTCTCTTGGGCAATGCTCCTGCAACCACAGCACAGGAGTTCAAGGGGAAGTTAACGCCTCCCGGGCAGTCCTTGAGCAATGGAGAGTGGGAATTGGCAGGTACATGCCTCAGCATCCCACCTGTAAGAAAGGGACAATTCTGAAATGCATTCTGTATGGACCCACCAAGGATCCCTGCTGGGTGGAACCCTAGTCTCCCACAACAGTAATCAACTCAGTAGCACATTTTTTCCTATCACTTTCAGGATAACGGCAACCATATCACATCACAGGAATTTGATTTGGCAATTAGAAGATCATCAGTGGTATTTTGCAAAGAAGTCTCAATCTGAATATTTGCTTGGGGGCAGATATATTTGCTGGTAAGCATGGATTGGAATGAGTGAGATGAAGCTTTAGTTAACCATGTACTAAATGTGAGTTTACCCAGCCTTTAAAGGGCATAGGCAAATTCAAGCCTTATAGCTCTCCTTGTAACATGACAGCAACAAGATTCATGTTTTTATTAAAAATATATTGCCAGAAATGTTGAGCCTGAATTTAATTAAGCCATTAGAACAAACTTTCAGTTTACAGGCAAGATAGCAGCCAGAAGGACAAATTAAAAACACCATGAAGAAGCAATCGGCCAAGTCCAGAAGGCGGGGCATCCAACAGGACAACTGGCAGGATGTCAACAGTAATTTCTCTTCCCTCACGCGGTAAGATGTGAGAAAGTGGAAACAGCAAGTATGGGATATTCTTTGGAAGGGAATGGGCAAGTACCTAGTGAGGGAGAGAATATCTAGGTTGTGTTTTGGATTGCTATGAGTCTTAAATCCTTTACTAGGCTCAGGCAAAAAGCCATTCATTAGAGAGAGTAATGTGGGGCCTGGACCTACAAGGTCATGGGAAGGGAGGAGACGACCAAAGCACAAGTGGCAGGATGATGCCTGAATAGGAGCCAAGACCCTTTTCCCAAACCTGGAGGAAGAGCGGGGGCGGGTCATATAGACGGAGATGAATCCCTAGGATTGTTTTTGGACTTCAGGTACCTTAAGCCTCTACTCAATTCTTTCTTTCAATTAGGATACAAGGTTTTCTGTGGAAAGGAAAGGAGCAACATGGGGAAGGATGCTTGAGAGAGTGGACCTACTAACTGGTGAGTTTTACGAGAACAGGAGAGAGAGGGTCTGCTTCATATTTATCTGTTTCATAGCACTAATCAAAGTGCCTTGAGCAGAGCTGAAGAACATTTAAGACTGGAAGTGTTATTGTAAAATACACCTGCACATATCCTAGATCGAAGCAATATAAGATATATTACCAAAGTTTCTATTTTTACAATAATCCTTAAATGGCTTGAATTTCTGTTTATTGTTCTTGATCACTAGGTAATTCATTTTTTTTGTCAGTTACAATCATAGATTATTAGAGCTCGGTTTTCATATTTAAACTTAAAGAACTTTAAATAATGTACCAACAGTTACATTGCTAGTTATTAGTAAAATCAGAATTACAACTGTGTTTCCTGTCCCTAAATCAGGGCACATTCTAATATGCCCTCTGCCTCCCACATACCCTGTTTCCCCCAAAATAAGACCTAGCTGGAAAATAAGCCCTCGCATGATTTTAGGTGCCAAAATATGGCACTTTGGCATACTGAATATTTTAAGCTGAAGGAGTTTGTGGAAAAGGCACCATTCTCCCTGAAACATGTCATAAAACCCTCATGTGAGGGGTGTGTGCTCTCTATATCCTGGAGGAGTCATGTTACGGCTTATTCTCTGGCTAGGTCTTATTTTGGGGGGAACATGGTAGCATTTATGATGAAATCTACATCATTTTTTCAATGTGTACGCCATCTGAAACATTGGAGTTGGAAAGTAAAATTGCTATTATTCTGCTTGAGATTTATTTGGTCCTCTAATCTAGTGATTCAACTTAGGGCACTTAGCACTGCTTACTAAGAGCTTGGAATAAAGAGAGGTCCAGGCTTGAAGCAAAGTCATCTTAGTGCAATTGAGAAAAGAAATAAAAAATGTCTTTAGTTCAAAATAAAACCCAAGAAAACCTCAATGATCAACGTATAAGTTTTATTATGTTAAAATACAGTAATTTTAGTATTATATTATGCTTATATTTTTAGAATTATATTAGATATTTATACTATTTGTATTTGTAGTATTATGTTTTGACCATTTCTGTTTAGATAATCTCAGTCAGAGTATTGAGCTAATTTAATAAATATCAAATTGTTGTTTTTTAAATTCACAGTTATGATATTAAATATGTCAAGGTAATAAAAAGGAATGCTTTCTCAAATACTACCTCTGTTCTGTGTACTCACCAAATACCAGTTGAATGTAGATTTGAGGAGCAAAAAATAGCCTCTAAATTTGAATCAATTTGCATAGTGTTGTAGTTCTAATTTAAAGATTTGATCATGTCATATTTTATTTCAAAATGTAATATAAACTTATCAAAAGTTGGTGAACATTTACAAGGTTGGACAATGAAGTTTGCGAACTCATCATAGAAAAAGTGCTACATACCTCATTGCTGAATATCACTGTGGTCAACTTCAAAGTACTCCCCTTGGGATACTATGTACCAACACCAGCTTCTAGTCCACTCTTCAAAGCAATTCTGGAACTCTTTTTCGGGAATGGCCATCAGAGCTGTCATCGTATTACCCTTGATGTCCTGAATGTCATCTAAATGTCTTCCTTTCAACATTTCCTTTATCTTTGGATAAAGAAAGAAGTCAGGGCGGGCAAGATCAGGTGAGTAGGGAGGGTGTTCCAATACAGTTATTTGTTTCCTGGCTAAAAACTCCCTCACAGACAGTGCTGTGTGAGCTGGTGCATTGTTGTGATGCAAGAGCCATGAATTGTTGGTAAAAAGGTTCAGGCTGTCTAATTTTTTTTTACACAGCCTTTCAGCACTTCTAAATGGTAAACTTGGTTAACTGTTTGTTCATTTAGTACAAACTCATAATGAATCACCCCTCTGATATCCAAAAAAGTTAGCAACATCATTGCAACAAGTTCACGAACTTAATTATCAGACCTCGTATTATGAAGTTTTGAATTATAGCTGGAATCAACCTTAAAGTTGTCATATAATTAATTCTTGGGATCTCTGAAATGTCAAAGCTTCTCCATGTAGTCAGTTCCTAATTTTCTGGGAACTCAGTTTCTTTTTTCCCTGATGTTGGCTATCTACCAGCTCTGTGAATGTTCAAGAAAAGAGAACAGGAATCAGCCAACTGTATTACTTGTCAGGAGATTCAGAAGATTTGGGGCAAAGTTTGGCACAACATAGTGTTTAAAATAAGATGGGGGTCCTATTCATTTTTCTTTATGTGGTCATCCAGTTTTCCCAACCTCATTTGTTGACGAAAATAGCCTTTCCCCATTCGGTCTCTTGACTCCCTTGTGAAATATTAGTTGACCATATATGTGAGGGCTTATTTCTGGGCACTTTATTTTGTTCCATTGATCTATATGTCAATTTTTATGCCAATGTCATATTGTTTTAATTGCTATAGCCTTGTAATACAGTTTGAAATCAGGAAGTGCTTACACCACTCATAAAAATTAACTTGAAATGGATTAAACATGTAAACATAAGACCTGATGCCATAAAACTCCTAGAAGAAAACAAAGGAAAGAAGCTCCTGACATTGGTGTTGGCAATGATTTTTTTTTATTTGACACCAAAAGCACAAGCAACAAAAGCAAAAATCAACAAGTGGGACTACATCAAACTAAAAAGCTCCTGCATGACAAAAGAAACAATTAAGAAAATGAACGGGCATCCTATGGAATGGGAGAAAATTTTTGCAAATCATATATATGATAAGATGTTAATAGCCAAAATATACCAGGAACTCGTACAGCTCAATAACAAAAAACAAGCAATTCAATTAAAAAATGAGCAAAGGAACTAAATAGACATTTTTCCAAAGAAGACATCCAAATGCCCAACAGGTACATGAAAAGATGCTCAAAATCACTAATCACCTGAGAAATGCAGATCAAAACCATAATGAGATATCACCTCATACCTGTTAGAATGGCTATGATCAAGAAGGCAAGTGATAACAAGTGTTGGTGAGGATGTAGAGAAAAAGGAAACCCTATACACTGCTAGTGGGATTTCAAATTGGCCCATCTACTATGGAAAATAGTATGAAGATTCCTGAAGAAATTAAAAAGAAACAGTTTACAAAATTAAAAGGCAATGGGCCGGCTGTGTGGTGCATTGGTTAAGAGTTGGCTTGGGACGCCAGCTCTGAGCAGCAGGGCGCCGGTTCGGATCCCACATGAGGGCCAGTGATGCTGCACCTTCTACAGCTAAGATGGTGAACAACAGCTCAACCTGGAGCTGGGCTGCCATGAGTCGCTGTCGAAGGTGTAGGCTGCAGTGGGGCTGCAGTGGGCTGCCATAAGCTACTGTGAGTGGCTGGCAGCCAGCGTGAGCGGCCGTCCAATGGCCGGTGACTGACTGCCTCATCTGGGAAGAGTGCAATGATAATACCAACATGGGCCAGTGAAGCGACGTCCTCCACAACTAGACTAAAGAACAAAAGGACAGCAACTTGTCTGTTCCCCTTCTCCGACTCTCCAACACTGTTCCCTTCCCCCAATTCTCCAATAAAATCTTTTTAAAAAAATTTAAAAGGCAACCTATGGAATGTGAGAGAATATTTGCAAACTATATATTTGATAAAGGGTTAATATGCAAAATATACCAAGAACTCATACAACTCAATAACAAAAAACAAATCAATCTGATTTAAAATTGAAAAAATGGGCAGAGAAACTGAATAGATATTTCTCCCAAGAGTACATACAGATGGCCAATAGACATATGAAAAGATGCTCAACATCACTAATTATCAGAGAAATGCAAATAAAAACCACAATGAGATGTCACCTCATACCTTTCAGAATGGCTATCATCAATAAATCAACAAACAACAAGTGCTGACGAGGCTGTGGAGAAAAGGGAACCCTTGTGCACTGTTGGTGGGATTGCAGATTGGTGCAGCCACTATGGAAAACAGTGTGGAGGCTCCTCAGAAAATTAAAAATAGAGCTACCTTATGACCCAGCAATTCCACTCCTAGGTATATATCCCAAGAAATCCAAAACACTAATTTGAAAAGATACATGCATCCCTGTGTTCATTGCAGCATTATTTACAATAGCCAATATATGGAAGCAACCTAAGTGTCCATCGATAGACAATTGGATAAAGAAAAAGTTATATATCTATATATCTATCTAATGCCATATCTATATCTATCATCTATCTATCTATCTATCTATCCTGTCTAATGGAATACTACTCAGCCATAAAAAAGAATGAAATCTTACCACTTGTGACAACATGAATGGGCCTAAGTGAAATAAGTCAGACAAAGAAAGGCAAATACCATGTGATTACACATATATGTAGAATCTAAAGAACAAAATAAATCAACAAACAAAACAGAAACAGACTTATAGATACAGAGAACAAACTGATGGTTCCCAGATAGAAGGGCGATTGGGTTGGGAGATGTGGTGAAAAAGGTGAAGGAATTAAGAAGTACAAATTGATAGTTACAAAATAGTCACGGGGATGTAAAGTAAAGCATAGGGAATATAGTTAATAATATTGTAATAACGATGTATGGTGCCAGGTGTACTAGACTTATCAGAGGGATCACTTTGTGAATTATATAAATGTCTAACCACTATGCTGTACACTTGAAATTAATAAAATATTCAATATCAACTGTAATTGGAAACTAAAAATTAGAAAAAGAAAAAGAGCTGAATTTCTCCCCAGCTCCATGGGAGCCTTGAAATTCAGTAGTTTCACAACTACCTCCTGTAGCTATGAGAAACAGCAGCTTAGCAACCACTGGAGGGGACAGGATGGACGTGGAGCTCCCAAAAAGCCTTATCCCCAGAGAACTGTCAGTAGTTGACCTGCCTGATAGCTCCATTAAAAGCTCTATTGGCAGGACTTTTCTTTATTTGAACTATTTCAGAATATACTCTATGAAAACCATTCGATATTTGTCAAAAACAAAAACAAAGACAAAAAAACAAGAAAGAAAAAATCAGTGACATAACAAAAGAAAAAATAGATAAATTGGACTTAATCAAAATTAAACTTTTGTTTTTTTATGTGGTGTCATCAGTAAAATGAAAAGACAACCCACACAAAGGGAAAAAATATTGGCAAATTATATATCTGATAAGACTTGTGTCTAGAATATGTAAAATATTCATATAATTCAATAATAAAAATACACATAACCCAGTTGACAATGGAGAATGGAGAATGGATCTGTATAGACATTTTGCAAAGAAAATTATACAAATGACCATCAAGCACATGAAAATATACTCATCATCAATAGTCATTAGAGAACTACAAGTCAAAACCACGATAAGATACCACTTCACATCCACTTGGATTACTATATTTAAAAATAAAACAAACAACAACAACAAAAAACCCCAGAAAATAACAAATGCTGGCAAGGCTATGAAAATCCTGAAACCCTCATAGCCTGCTGGTGGGAATGTAAAAT